TTGGCCACCAATTGTCATAATTTTGCCATTGTTTATGGAAGCAGTAGGTGGGTGGCAGAGTAGCCCACATGATCTAAACTATAGGATGAAAAAGGATGGACAGTATTGTGTTAGGTCTCAGCCTTCCTTCAGAGAAACCAGCATAGCGTAATGTTGCCAGTGGCCTGGTTCTTCTTGGTTCTCTGATAAACGATTCAGCACTTGGGTTGGTGAGAGGTGAGCTGCTTTTTAATGGGTGGTACTGGGGTGGGGGTGGGGTCTAGAATCTAGGCTTGGACTTCAGGGCAGTTTTCAGAGGTGGAGGTCGCTGAGGGGTGGCTGGACTTCCACTGATGAGTTTATAGATGGATGGGCTAGTCAGAGTGAGCCTAGGTAGAAGAAGAAGGTCACTGAGGGCATGTCTTCTAAAGGTTCCTCCCCCCTCTCCCTTTTCCTGCATCCTGGCTACTATGAGGTGAGCAGCTATACTCTGCTATTCACTCTTTTTTAGAGGGAAGTTTCTTGGTCCTGCCTAGATTTGTCCCTATGGTCTGGATGAATCTCTCCCCTGAGCTCTCAAAACCACTTATAAAATAATCACTCAGAGGCTTATATTAATTACAAACTGTATGGCCTATGGCTCAGGCTCTTTATTAACTAGCTCTTATAACTTAATTCAACCCATTTCTATTAATCTGTATGTTGCCACATGGCCATGGCATTACCGGTCTGCTGACACCTTGTTGCTCCTTGGGCGTCGGGCTGGCATCTCTTTGACTCCACCCTTTTGCCTCCACCTTTAGTTTTACTGTACCGCCTAATGTAGCATGAATTGTTAGAAGGTCTTATTAATAAAATCAAACCCGGTGCCAGGTATTGGGGTGAATGCTGGAAGATCAGAGAAGCAGAACAAGCCACAGCCACCTCACCTTGCCTGTTCCTCAGCTGATCCTGTTTCTTCAGACTGGAAGCCTCTCATTCCCCATCCAGAATGAATCTCAAATGTTGCTCAAAAGCCTAAACGCTTAACCAGGCCCTAGTTCCTCGTTTTCATACCTTATATACCTTTCTGCTTTCTGCCATCACTTCCTGGGATTAAAGGCATGAGTTACCATGCCTGGCTGTTTCCAGTGTGGCTTTGAACTCAGAGATCAGGATGGATCTCTGCCTCCCAAGTGATAGGATTAAAGGTGTGAGTGCTACCACTTTCTGGCCTCTATATCTAGTGGCTGTTCTGTTTTCTGACCCCAGATAAGTTTATTAGGGTACACAATATTTTGGGAAACACAATATCACCACAGCCTAACCTTATTCTGCCTCACCATTGGCCAAACAGCTTAATTTATCAACCAATGAGAGCAACACATATTCACAGCGTACAGAAAGACATTCTACAGCACTCTCTCCCATGATCCTCTGCATCAACACAAGCCACAGCAATGTGGGATCTGTTACATGTCTGAAACTGTGAGCCAAAATAAAAATTCCTTTCCCTAAGTTGGTTTACCCCAAGTGTTTTGTCAAAGCCAGGGAAAGATGAGTCATACACCAGAAGACCACAATTTGCTGTGGACAGGATGACTAGATTGCATGTAAGTTTCTTAGCTAATTCACCTTTGCTGGGAAAGCTGGCTACAAACGTTTTCAGAGGGCCAAACATCTTAATGGTCTCCTAGGTGAGCTCCCTGACATCATGAGGCCTAGATTCCAGCAGAACATTAATAACCAAGTACACACAAATGATTCCAAAGGGCATTAAGCAACCTGGGTAAAATCTGATTAGATGGAGCTTGGTGGCTATACTTGTGAGTGGATAGTCCTTGACGATGAGCTAAGAGATGAACTGAGAGAAATGAATGGTGCTACAGATGGTAATTGCTCCCACTTTGGGACAAAGCTTGCAAGTTGAAAGCCCGTCCTTTCTGGTAAAGTTGTTTAGGGATACAAACAGGCCTCAAATGTAGCTGTTTCCCACAGGGTTCTGCTGGATGTCCCAATGGGTAACATGTTGTTGAGTGAGTGCTCAATGAGGGCATTTTAAAAAACTATTTTTTTTTTTACTAATTCTCTGAGGCTTTCAGACAGTGTCGTTTTGACTTTATTCACCCCCTCCTCCTCTCAGATTTGTCACTACCTTCCAACTCCCTCCCAACCTCATGCCCCCCCCTTAAAAAAATAACCCACTTAGTCCATTAGTGCTGCCCAGATACTCATGGTGTGAGGTCCCGTCCCTGGAGCCACGCCTTTAAAGAAAACAGACTCTCCTTTCCCTAGAAGCCACCAACTGCCAATCAACAGCTCCTCAGTTAGGGGTGGGGACTTGATTCCCTGTTGCTCCATGCTAGAATGTTGACTGGTTTAATTTTTACAGGTCTTGCACAGGCAAGTTCATGGATACAACGGTCCTGTCAGGTCTGAAGACAGCTTGGCTCCAGTCTTCCCTCCTCAACCTCTGGCTCTCATTTTTTTGTCCCCTCTTCCAAGAAATGAGGACATCTTCCCCATCCCTCATTTTCATGATCTTGATATAATTCCAAGCATGTTGTCAACAGTTACAGAATGAATCACTGTGTTTATATGTAGATGAGACTCACCTGTCCTTCTCTGAACCACTCACTACCTTGTGGTCTGTATCTGGGCACAAATGAGAGTCCAGCTAGCACCTCCAACCTCAGCTAGCACTCCCTCCATTCTCCAACCTCAGCTAGCACCCTCTCCATTCTCCAACCCTAGCTAGCACCCCCTCCATTCTCCAACCTCAGCTAGC